CTTCTGTCAGAATGTAGAATTATGTTGATGATCTACATTATGACCTAGAAATCGTTGCGATTTCAGTGATCGCAATGAAAAATGTTTTTATTTATATTTTTTTAGTTCCAATGGCCATGACTGTCGGAATGCTGGTATGCTGAAAAATCTGCTGAAGTGTTGCTAGTCCGATAGAGACAAAGTAAATGTCCGATTGCTGTAACATTTCCACACAAAAAAAAAGTATATTGCCACTCCGACAGTAGACTGCTCATGTGTCTGATCACAGCTCAAATGTGCAACAGACTGAAAAAACTTCTAGAAATTCTGCTACCAACCAGAGTTGGTTAACTTTTAAACTTGCAGGATAAACATTATACAGAATAATAGGTATCTGACTTTCTGAAACTGAAAATCCAGGATATGCAGGGATTAACAGCACAATGTAATCTGAGTTCCCACATGTCCTGCTACAGTCATTTGTTTTACCTGGTAGAGATGAGCCACCATATGGAACACATGCTCGTTATGGCCAAGGAAAATACTTAATTGCAAATGTTTAAATAAAACAGCCAGAAACATTATTTATTTTTTAGCTCTGGTAAAATTATAGATTATAGGTAAAATACTTTTTGTTCTTTTCTTTTATATCTTTATGTAACACTTTTCCCATCAGCTTATTTTAGTAGAATATTTGTTCTATTTTTTATCTATTCGTTCAGTTAGTTCTTCTATATAAAAGTGTAATAAATTATTAATCACAGCTGGAGGCGCCTTAGAATCTAAGAGAGAAATACAGCAAGATTTAACAGGGAACACCCTGTTAAATCTTGCTTTATTTCTCCTCAGGTTTTAATCTAATCATCAGGTAAATGTCATTGTAGAGTTTTACCTCCAAAGCTGCAGTTTGCAAACATGAGGCTTTAACTCTAACAGGTTTTATTCGCTCCCTGATGAAGCTCAAATCCACAGCCTGCATCATCAGTGAAATATTAATGCAAAGTGTGGGTTTGGTACCTATCCGGTGCAAGATGATCCGGGGGATTCGGGGGGAATCCAGTAATCTATGCTGAACCTCCACCTCTTCTTCGGATTTGAAAAAAACTTCTTTAATCTCAGTCAGTGTTTCTTCAGCAGGAGTAAACTGCTCAGTGATAAATTTGCCCTGAAACTGGAATGAAGACATTCTCACTGCAAACATTCAAATATCAACCCATAGATAAAGAAGCATCTTCCATGGAGGAGGAAAGCTAAAGCTAAAGCTGCTAGCGACCCAGTCCGTCTTCTTCTTCTCGTCCTAACAACCTACTGCTGCCACCCTCTGGATAGAAATTTCATATAGCAGCCCGCTTCCTAGAGGTCTGTGGAAGACGTTTCCGCCACATGACAGTAAAAATAAATGCAAAATAGAAAGTCATAATTCTGAGATACAAAGTTTGAAAGTCGAATATCTCATAATTTTTACCTTTAAAGTCGAAATTATGACTTTGATTCTCATTAGCATGACTTTGTATCTCATAATTATGACTTTAAATCTCATAATTACACCTTTCTATTTGCATTTTTTTTTTACTTTCATGTGGCGGAAATGGGGTTCCATAGTTTACTAGATATTTTAGATGAAATGTAAAAAAAAAAAAAAAAAAAAAAGCCTCTTACAATGATATTATCAATCCTTCATTTTTATTGAAATACAAGTCTATTTTTCTCATGGAAAAAAGCAATAAGAAGACTGACAAATAATCTCACATATTCACAGGTTATGTATGTTATTCTATTTATATTTTATTCATAATATTATGTGGGTTTTTGTAAATGTATGGATTGGGCAAACCAACCCCCTGGCTTTGTCACAAGTTCTGTTCCTTATGTATTTTTTAAGCATTTATTTTTTCAAGAAAAAAAGGGGTTCACTGCCATATTATTCTCATTGTTCATAATAGCATAGTGTTGGGGTAACCTTAACCCTAAGCTACACATAATAAAAACAAAGCAAAAATCATGTTAGATCAGCTGTGCTTTTACTTTTCCCATTCAGAGTTGTCAAGTAACAAATTATAAAACCTTAATTATTAATCTTTAGCTGTTCTCTGTATCTGTTCTTCACGTAAATATTTATTTTTCTGGGGACTCTGTACTTTTACTTAATACATTTGAACACTGAAATCTGTACTTTTCTACTCTTTACTTTCTCCAAAATGGATTGTAAAGTTTAGATGCAAAAGCCACAAACAGATGGAAAATCAAGAGCAAAAAGAAAATATGTTCAGTTAGAATCTTGTTAGTTTATTAAAAGCAAATAGCAACATAGATGAAGACAGGGGGCTAGTAAACATTACATACGATGGATGAGATTCTGAGTAGGACATTCCTCTTCATTCGCCCTTATTAGATTTCATGTTTACATATTTATTATGTTTCAGCTTTGTGTTGTGAATACAAGAGCTCTAAAAGAATTCAACTGTTCATGTGTGACTGCTCTAATTATAACTCAGTCTATTTATATCAAATACATAAGGTTTATCATGTGCTTGCATTTAACAAACCTGATTATTATGCAATTCAAACAACATTCTTTGTATATTTGAAATAAATACTTCAGTATTAATTAAATTTGTATTAATTAAAAGCAGCTAAAACAACACTACAAAAGATAGATTACAGAGTAGGGCTTTATGTATATGCACAGGTGCAGTGAAAACAACACCTAATATTGCTCTTTTAATAATGACCCGAGAGACTTCAATGGAAATTAGAAAAATAACATTAGCTCTAGTATACTGGATGAAAATTAAAAGTAGTAAGGAAGAAAATGTAACTTTCACAATTCTACAAAATTGTTGGGAATATTCAAAGTTTCAGAGTAATGGATTTGGATGGATTATAAGCAAATTGATTAAAGAATTTTGATTAGAAGACAAGAACATATCTCAGTTTAATCCGATTATTGTTATTCCTCCATGGCTCTTCCCTGAAGTAAATGTAGACATGAGACTGCTTAAAATGAAAAATGATTGGAATTTAAATGAAATAGAGATAAAGGCTGATATATATTTAAGAAACTCATATTATAACTACCTTAAATATATTCAGATGGTTCTAAGAATTGAAAAAGACATGTGGGAATAGGAATTATATACCAGAGTTTAAAATATATATTTCTAAAAGAATATCAGATCAACTATGTGTTTTCACATCAGAAATGGTGGCAATTATACTAAGCTTACAATGAGTAGAGGAGGCTAGACCAGACAGGGTGGTGATCTGTTCAGGTTCCATAGCAGTTTTAGAAACTATTCAGGGAGACGGAAATGATAGAAAAGATTTAGTATGAGAAATCCAGCAAAGTATACTTAGATTATATAGGGGTGGCATTGATGTTTGGTTATGTTGGGCTACAGCACATGAAGGTGTAAAAAGGCAATGAAAAGGCAGATATGTTGGCAAAAAGGGCTTTAGATGGAACAATAACAATTACAATACCTTCAGGTAAAGGGGAAGGAAAAGCACTTATTAAGAGTAAAGAAATAGAAAAATGGCAAAAGAGATGGAACGCAGATAAGAAAGGAAGAGGATTATATAAGGTAGAAAAATCTACGGAGCCCCTCTTATGACATGGTCAAAAAAAATGTTTAATTGTACTAAATTGAACAATTAAATAGAGAAACAGAAGGGAAGAAGTAATAATGTTCAGATTAAGAATGGGTCATGCCTATTTAAATGACAATTCATATTTATTCAGGAGGGAAAATAGTGATAAATGTGATGAAATGTGGAGAAAAGGAAAATGTAGAACACTTTCTGATGAACTGTAAAACTTATGAACATGAAAGGAAGAAATTGAGGAGAATGGCTGGAAGGACAGGATAAGAATGGAGTCTTAAAGGAATATTAGGAAATGTAGTAAATATAAAGGATCATTATTTATTTATCTACAGAGTACACAATAAAAAGAAAGAATTTAATGCAAAGTGATGTTGCTACACACTCATGTACAGTAGGTGGCGGTATGCAGCTTAAAGTTGCTGATGATCCGCCATGATAGAAAAGAAGAAGAAGAAGAAGAAACGCTGGTTATTTCTGGGGCTAAATATTTTAATGTTTGCAGAGCGGATTTATTCATTCAGTCCAGCTTCAAGGACCGTTTATGATCTCACCTTTTATTCCTGCTGCAGAAACATTCACGGTTTAAAGGAAGTTTATTTAGAACTAATGGATGTTTTGCACAGACTGCTGGATTTCCATTGAATCCATCAGATCATCTCACATCGGAAAGGTACGAAACAGCCGATATATAAATGTTGAACTGAAAACACAGATTTTAGGTTGAATTTGGGAAAACTGCTCAGAGGAGAACAAGCAGCTAAATCTGCCTTCAGACTGAGAGCAAATAAAAAATCTGCATCATGTTTATTGATGCTAAAACTCTACAGTTACTGTTTTTTTCTGCTGATTAGATTCAAACATGCTGCCTGCTTACATCTAGTTGTCTTTCTCAGTGTGAAACCTTAACTAGTTTAACTAAATCTACTCTATTCTTTTATTTTATTCGGTGGAGCACATATCAAAATAAAGCCTTCTGATAAACTGATAGATTTTATTTAACTTGCAAAGTTTTAGAGAACATTTATAATACAGTTGAACATCAGTTCAACTGTATTAGAAAGAAGCAAAACACTCTGTGATAAAGAGCCTCCAGCTGTTTGTCCATCAGTTATTACACCGCTATTTGGACAAAGAACCCGATAATAACAGATAATAAAGAATCAACTGAGGAGGGTTTATATAAAGACTTAAAATAACTGACTTGACTAGTTAATAATTATGGACATGAAAATTGGTTTTAAAGGAAAAGTCCACATTTAGAATAAAATAATCTGAAAATACTTTAAATATCACATTATGACAAACTGTTCAATAAATAAGTGTTTTTAATTAAGAGTAATTTCATTTGAATGTGCTTTACTGGAGGCATCCATGTTTGTCAAAGAACACTACTGCCACCTAATGGTTGGTGACGTCACGGTGCGGTATCGGCTGTTGAGCAAGTCCCAGCCCTGTATCTGGTGTTTGTCACAACGCCCTATTATCCAAGTTAACTGGAAAACATTCTTCTTCCAAATGTTGGCTACAGATTACGTGTTTCGATGGGAAATCCTCCGTCTTCAAGTTGGCAATCCAACGAGGAACCCTTCCGTGGAGGATCAGGAATTGGAAAAGGGAAATAAGTAATGCTTTTTTCACTTTTACCTGATGTATTCCAACATCTAACTGCCTTGCACGTGGGCATTGTCAGGCCCCGTCCACACGAAGCCAAATCCTGGCCTAAACGCACAAATTTTTCACCAAACCAGCCTCTCATCCATACGAAGCCGGCGTTTCGGGGGTCTGTAAACGATCTTTTTTTTATTCAGCCTTCAGAGTGGGAAGATTTTGAAACGCCGTTTTCGCGTTTCCATCTTTAAGCTCTAACCGCATTTTTTTTTTTTTACACGCATGCGTCACAGCGTCGCCTCTAAACACGCATGCGCGACACAGTATCACAACAACAATGGCGCCGTACTGTGTTGAATGGTTGCTGCTCATGCTACTCACCCTGCTGTCGGGCTTACAACAGAATCTTCTTCTTCTGGAATATCTCCAGGAAGAACAGAGCAATATCGACGACATAGTTCAGCACCTGAATTTGACTGAACCACAAAAATGGACCCGCAGGGCAACCATGTATAAATATTAGTGCGCATGCCCAACATTTCGTCGCCTATTTTTGCTTTGGCACCACAGCGCCACTTACAGGCCTGGCATACATTTTGCAGCGTTTTCATGCATTCGTGTGGACGATCACATTTATTTTACGTCTCCGTCTTTACGATAAACGTTCTGGAAAATATTAGCGTTTCGTGTTCGTTTTGACTTCGTGTGGACGGGGCCTAAGTTTCACTATAGCTCTGGTGAATTTCAATGGTGAAGTCCTCTGGAAATCTTCAATAATTGTTGTTGATTGCAGATGTGTCTAGTAGTTCCCATTGATTTTGCTTGTAAAGCGGGAGAATGAAGCTAGGCTTACCGCACCGTGACGTCACTGCTGGAGGATGGCAGGAGTGAGGGGTTACTATATTTGATTAGACTGAGTCATCGTGACAAAAATGATTGTTTTAAATTTTTTACAGATTAACGCTACAATCATTAAATCACTGCAAACATAGTTGTTTTAGGTATAGATAATGATCCACTAATTATTCCTTGCTGATCTTTAAAATTATTCCCCTGTTGAGTATTTTTTTTAATGTTTTAAATAAATATTTAGAATTTCAAGTTTCTGAAACAACAGAGTTGAGTGGTAATGCTAATTCGGTCCTGTTACTAATCTGAATAAATATTTTTCACTAACTAAAATGTTATGCAGTGTAGTGGAAGAGGTACTGGCCCAGACTGTAATACTGTAGGAAAGATAAGGATAAACAACACCTTAGTGGTGTGTACGCAAGCCGTTTGTTTTAAAGGTCCCATATCATCCAGAATTAAAATGATAAACATTTTGTAGCGGTCAGATGTTTCTGCAAGTTTGTGTATGAGATTCACAAATGGAAATAAAGCTACTTTCACCTCTAAATGCCTCGCTCCACATCTCAGCTAATTTATGTTCAGATTGGTTTCTTCTTTTCTATCATGGCGGATCATCAGCAACTTTAAGGTGCATACCGCCACCTACTGTACACGAGTGTGTAGCAACATCACTTTGCATCAAATTCTATTTGTTGAGTATTCTGTAGAAAAATAAACAATGCTCCTTAATCTGTGAATATCCTTTATAGTTCCTTCATTCCCAATATTCCTTTAAGACTCCATTCTTAGCCTGTCCTTCCAACCATTCTTCTCAATTTCTCCCTTTCATGTTCATAAGGTTTCAGATTGGTGTCTTCTTCTTCTTGGGATTTTATGGCGGATGGCCAACAACGTTAGGTGCATTACCGCCACCTTCTAAACTGGATTAAGGATCAATAGCTATCGTTCATAATTACTCTAATTATAACCTGTTCTCTTCAGGAATCTTAAAATATAATCATAAATTATATCACCAGAGGATATTTGTGATTATTTCTCTATAATTGATTTATTTTTATGCAGATCATTTAAAAGGAAATGGGTTCTAAAGCAATTATCTGTCCGCAATAGTCTTAAAACCTGTATCAGGCTTGTTGATTATTTTAACTGTGCTATTAGATCTCTACCTTGAAATAATCCTCTTCCTTCTTTATTCTGTGACTTTTCCTAAATTCATCCATTTAGTTTTGGATGCTTTATCCAATTTGTTGGTCTTGCCTTTTCTTCTAAGCAGAGACTTCATCTGTATTCTTAATGTCTTGCCTTCTTATTTTCCCATTCAAATCTACAAAACGTCTCTTTGTTACACTTTTTGTAAATGGTCGGGCAGCTCATCCCCGATATATGCAGGAAGCCACATTAGCTGTACCTCTGTTCCTTTATTTTCCATTCTGGAAAGTGAATTAACTACATCTATTGTAATATATATTTTTTTGCAGACTGGTGTGTCTGAAAAGCAGGCCCTTCAGAAAGTCCAACGACAGACTAACCACTCCCCAGGTTGTGGACACTGCTGTTGACCCGCCTCCCAGCTGTCTGAAGACTCATCCAGCATCGCTGTCCTCCTGCTCGCCGAGGCAGACCATAGCAATCAGACATGGCTAAGCTCAGAGCTAAGCACGGCAGGTGCTCTGTCACTGGTTGCATAAACGAGCACAAAAGTCTTTTTTTACTGCCGTCATCTGAGCCCCTAAAGACCCAATGGATGGATTTCATTTTTGGTGGCAATCTATCCGCAAAACCTCCAAAGGAATTGCACGTGTGTGCTAGACATTTCGAAGAGGAGTGCTTTCACAACATGGGCGCCTACAAAGCAGGCTTCGCCACGCACCTCAAACTGAAGAGTGGATCGATACCAACTCTGCGCTACAAAGCTATACAGGTAAGAGCTGGTAGTGATTTTACTGTCAGACTGATTTGCCTGATAGCCTGGAAACACGTTAGCACTGCAGCTAACTTGCAGACATTTTCAGCATCCGATTTGTTTAACCTTAAGGGACGTTCACATCAAAACTCCACGCACTCCACAGCTGTCCATGTTATCTCTATGTAGGGGGGATTTGGAGCACTGAATTCTAGCGAGGCGAATGGCAAATGTTGCGAAATCAAATCGCTTCTGCAAAGTAGACAAAGCGAAATACCGCAGGAGATGAAAAGTCTGAACTTTTGTTTAGATTTGCACAACAAAATCCAATCAGGGACTTGATGTTGCCTTGACCTGCGTTGAAGAAGGTAGAGGGGGGAAGCTTTTTTCAAACGAAATTAATGATGGAGAACTAACGTTGAGATAAAAAAAATGAAGTGAGGAACGCCTTAGGGAGCTTTTAAAGAAGCCGTTTTAATTGAGCCTCAGGACTGTTTCGTTGTCGTTCCTTCAGCGTTGACCCGGCCAGGTGCTGCTTCTCCCCCCCGCTCTATCTGCCTGGCAGTCTTCTCAGATATAACTAGCCCTGGTCACTCACACACACCCCCACCCCACCACTCTGGCACCATTTGCCCCATCTTGTTCTCGTACTGATTCCCTACAGCTCCTATTTGACACCATCTCACCTTACCTCTGTTGTCTGTGTGGTTCGTCCCCCAAGGCGGCACTGCAGGACTTCTATTATTTTACATAATTGAGTGCATTTCCTATTCTAAAACATGCACTGACTACATTTGAATAAGTGTTAACCAGGTTTCCTCTACACAGGCTGGCCAATCAAGTCCATCCACTCAGTTACCTGCATACCAGACTAACCCACTCGGCATGCCTACTGTAAAAACACAGCAATCCTTTCGGACTCCTCAGCCCAGCTTCAGAAGTGTTGGTATGTGCTCATCACTGCTATAATAAGTGGTTATAACAAAGTTATTCATAATATAGCAGCCTATGTAAGATTCTTCTTCTTCCTTTTTTATTCTTCATTTGAATTATATTCGGTTTCAGGTGTGCAGACTGCTGCCTCCTTTGGAGACTTTAGTGTTGGGACCACGACTGCAGAGCCTTTGTATTCGTTTTCCTCATCTGTGAGGAGACCTTCAAAAAGACGTCGCCTGGGCCAAGGAGGAGAGCTGGACCAGGAGGATGAATCATTGGATGGCAGCTCTTCAAATGGGCTGGATTCTACCTATGACCCTGCTGATCCCGCCACAGTATTGACAGAGACAACATCATTGTCGTAAGTCAGTCTCTATGGATCCTTAAAGGAAAATGCAGTTTTTTTTACATTGGGTCCTTGATTTTACGTTATTACATCATGTTCTACTCACCTGTATGAGTTTTGTGTCATTTGGAGCTGTTCTGAAGATATTCCGGTAGGTTATATCCCAGTAACGTCTTCCTATGGGCAACGACTTGAAGGCACAAACTAAACTGTTCATAATTTATCATTTATGGTACGCCAGCATTCATAACATGCAGGCCAATCACTGTCCTCCAGCTGCTGAACTGCTGCTAGTTTTACTCACATGCCTGGAAGGTGTCTAGTGCTACTACCACAGATTATCTCGCTCTCTAAATGGAATTGAACGATTCAGATTAGCTAGAATGAATAGAAGGCGTTGAGTTTAGCCGTCTTCGGCCCGGGCTGCCTGTCACAACTCCAGTCCGGCCCGCGGATGACATCATACACACTCCGCTTTGTTTTTAAAACATATAAATATAAATCATATAACCGTGGATGTCTGGGGGACAGTGATTCGTCTACATGTTATGAATGC